CCTCTTGGTAACTAAAGATACATATCAGTTTAAATCCTTCTGTTAAGATTTATGTTTGAACCAAATAAAACCTTTCTTTCTTTCTTTCAAGAATCAGTCTTCTTTGTTTAGTAATAAGTAGGATACCTAAAATGATGACAATCAAAGTGGTTTATTTAGGTAGAAATAACGCATGATTTATGCTCGTTAAGACTTGGTGATATTTAGTTCTTAGTTTATTTTTTTACCAACAGAATCTAAGTCTAAAACTAAAAAAAAAAACAAAACTAAAAAAAAAATTTTTTTGGTGGTATTATAATAATTCGAAAATTTATTTTTCCCATACAGGAATTGGATACACCGAAAAAATATATCCTGATCAGTTGGCTAGTTTTGAGTTGGCTGTACTTGTTTGGTATGAGCCTTTTGATGGAGGTATTTTCGAGGCAAATAGAACAGACCAAATTAATTTGCACCTACGCTCAATTGAAATGTTTAAATAACGGTTAGTTGACTTTTCATTATGTTTTCCGTCCCTTTACTACAAGAATAATTTATGAAAACAACCTGGATTGATATTTATTTTCAGTAATGTTGTTTCGCTACAAGATTTCGCTTATACGTAATTAATTTTATTAAAACAAAATATGTTGTTATTCGTAATGTTTGCTTGTCTCTGTCGTATAAAATCTTAATATAGTACAACATTATATAAGAAAATAATTTATGAGTTATTGTATTTTTATTACTTTTCAGAAGCAGTATACAAGTTCACGAAGCCTATATTGCGCGCACTGGAAGTCAGGGTGGCGCGCACCTCCATATATGGTTTGTTTTTCTTCGATCCTGGAGCGACGCTGCGCCTAGCAGCCTCTACTTTCCTTTATATTACTGCACAGATTCAAATATCAATGCCTGACGAAGAAATGGGAAATAGTGGAAACTTTACTATTGCCGGTTGTGATAAGGTTTCAGGAAAATTATAAAAAAAATGTTACCTACTATTGAAATATGTAATTTAAAACAAAGTAATACTCGTAGTATTCAATCTCACACTAAGTTCGTAGATGTAAATGGGTAAATAATATGTAATGTTATGCCTATGGCATCGAAGTTCGAACCCACGGACTATCACTAGGTAATAACAAACAAGTTTACATCTATTTATTAATGAACGCACTATGAAGAATTATTGTATTGATAAACTACTTATACTATTAAAGCTTTAACGACGACGCGACGGAATCGCATCGAGTTTGGGTTCATTGGATTTGTCTTGCCGCGCACCTTTTTAGTGCAGTAATTAAAAGCGTGTTTTTTGTTTTTTAAACTACTAATGTATTTAAAGCTCGAGTGACCTATTTTTCTTGAAAATTGTCTGATCGGATTATGAAAATCAATTTTATATTTTGTTTATTACCTGTACAACATAAATTATTCGCACCGATCTGCAATGAGTCGACTCAGTATCGTGCGAGGAAAAGGTGCACTGAGAAAGGATAGGTACAACCATTCCCACTAAATTGAGATTTAATAGGCTAGAAATTAAGTAGCGACTTTAACATTTTTTTAAATCAAAATCAAGCTATTAAAACTAATACAAACTTATTACATAAACAGCTTCAGTACAGTACTTGGCATGTACCAGAGTACTTACTTCTTGTAATGACTACTTCTTCTAAGTGACCACTCAAATCAATGTTATCAGTAAAAAATATTATCAGATATAAAATCACATTACAACCACCCCAATCCAGACTTTATACGTATTCTTTTTAAAATTGTTTCCCCTGAGAATTACTTACGGCAATATTTTACAATCACATTTGTTGATCCATTGCATTTGAATTAGTGTTGATTACAATCGTTGGTGTTAAACACTCCTACACTATAACGTGAAGAGTCAGGATACTCCAGAAGCAAAAGNTGAGGGCGAGTTACATGAACGTGGCGCTGATGAAAGCCCTCAAAGTTAAGGTTCAATATATTCCAGACTTGTTCGTTTTCAATGGATTTTTTTGGAAAAGTAAACACAATGATCTAGTAAACTTACAAGGGGAAGCGGATGTGATGAAGTTTGTTAAGGTTTACAAGATGTTCTTCACCCATTTGAAACTATTTGAAAAATGTTATCAATATACCGTAAGTTCCTAAGATGCATTCTGCCAGTACGCTTCATATTTTATTGGAATTTACACATAAAAATCTATTATCCATAATTGCATAAATAATAATCCGTGATTGCGTTTTTTTTTTTTCAGATTTTCACAGGAATCCTATGCATATCCGTAGGTGCTTTGTCCTGCGTACAAACTCTCATAATATTTGGGAAAATGGTCAGTGGCTATCCTTATAACTATTATTGCTTCTCTCAGAACCAATACTTAATTTTTTTTATAATAATTCAACCATTCTTTGAATAAAGTTAAACTTGTGGTCAGAAATCATTATTTTTTGGCTATCTAGAATTTAGATATTTTAGCACTATATTTTATGAGTAAGTACTAGCAAAATACAAAAAAAACATGATAACTTTAAAATCAGGAATTATTCGCTAAAATTGCTTAAAAAAATAGTGTTTTTCGACCATAAGTTACATAGAAAAATCTAATGGAAATGAGTTCTACCGTTACCCCTTTCGAAGAATGTATCGAACTCCCGGTGACCCAGTATATTGTTACATTATGTATATTATAGCGAATTAAAAGCAAACTAAGTCGGTAACTTCTCGTTCAATGAATGAAATGAACCTATATTATGAGAACCTTTAATCAATAAAATATTTTTTTCCTTGAAATTATACGATTTATCTTTTGTTTTTTTTTTTTCATGTAGTTTTGCTTTGTTCGATTGCAACTTCCAATACATTATGCATTATTATAATAATTTGTATATTTATTTTTCTTACAGGGAATGGATATGCTGAGAAGATATGTTCTGATCAGTTGGCTAGTCCTTAGTTGGCTGTACTTGCTAGGTATGAGCGTGTTGGTGGATATATTTTCGAGGCAAATAGAACAGACCAAATTAATTTGCACCTACGCTCAATTGAAATGTCTAAATAATGGTTAGTTACCTTTCATTATGTTTTACTATACGATTAATTTATGAAAACAGCCTAGTTAGATTTTTTGTTTTTAGTTGTTTTGTTGCGCTAAAATTTATTAAGCTTAACACGTATTTAATTTTATTAAAACTATGTTTGCTTGTCTTTGTGTAGTAGGACATTGAAACACTGTATTTTTTTTCCAGAAGCAGTATACCAGTTCACGAAGCCTATATTGCGCGCACTTGAGGTCAGGGTTGCGCGCACCTCTATATATGGTTTGTTTTTCTTCGATCCTGGAGCGACGCTGCGCCTAGCAGCTTCTACTTTCCTTTATATCACTGCGCAGATTCAATTAACAATGCCTGCTGAAGGAAACGGCAACAGTGAAAACTGTACTATTGCTTATTAATATAATTATTTTAACATTTGTTTATTACCTGTAAAAAAATTAAGTTAAAAATTAGGCCGTTTATGCCTCCAAAAACGTACCTATATTTGGACAGTCAAGGAAAAGAAAATGTATTGGGTATTTTCCGCTGACCTCTCAAGTAATACTGTCTTNTTTTTTTTTTTTCAAACCTTTAAGTTGAAAATTTTAGAATGTTCCGCTAAAAGCATATTTTTTATGTTTCTAGCAAAAATTTTGTATCTTGCATCAAAGATAGGAAGTTGATTATTTTTTTCAAAAATCTGCAATTAATAGGGAATCTGTCAAAAAAAAGAAATCTGAGAAAAGTCAACCCAAAAAAAAGATTTAAAAAAAATTAAGCCACTAGGTCATGAAATTTGAAAAAATCACAAAATTAACGATAACTTCTAAACTACGAAAAATCGTAGAACATACATGGGGGTGAAATCGATAGGTCTAGTCCTCACCTATCACCTGCCTTCGGCTTGACACCTTACAAGAAACACCCTGTATAAAGCTTCAACGACGACGCGACGGAATCGCATCGAGTTTGGGTTCATTGGATTTGTCTTTCCGAGCACCTTTTTAGTGCAGTAATAAATGCGTATTTTTAGTTTTTTAAATTATTAATTTATTTAAAGCACGAGTGACCTATTTTTCTTGAAGATTGTCTGATCGGATTATGAAAATCTATTTCATATTTTGTTTATTACCTGTACAACATAAAGTATTCGCACCGATCTGCAATGAGTCGGCTCAGTATCGTGCGAGGAAAAGGTGCACTGAGAAAGGATAGGTACAACCATTCCCACTAAATTGAGATTTAATAGGCTAGAAATTAAGTAGCGACTTTAACATTTTTTTTTATCAAAATCAAGCTATTAAAACTAATACATATTACATAAACAGCTTCAGTGTAGTACTTGGCATGTCCCTACCAGAGTTCTTACTTCTTGTAATGACTACTTCTTCTAAGTGACCACTCAAATCATTGTTATCAGTAAAAAATATCAGGTAGAAAATCACATTACAACAACCCCAATCCAGACTTTATTCGAATTATTTTTAAAATCGTTTCCCCTGAGAATTATTCACGGCAATATTTTACAACCACATTTGTTGATCCATTCCATATGAATTAGTGTTGATTACAATCGTTGGTGTTAAACACTCCTAAACTATAACGTGAAGAGTCAGGATACTCCAGAAGCAAAGGACCGGTGCATCAGCACGAAACAAAATATCCCGATGGAAAACAATGACAAAATTGAATTGATTCAAGAATACGTCAAAAAGTTGCAAAAATGCAAATATTGGGTATTACGAGCATCGGGATATGGAAGATTTAGTATAAGTAATAACCGAATCGTTGAAAAATCTTTCGGTTCTGTTATTTATGGTGTATTCGTGCTTATAATCAGCATTGTCGTCATGACCCACCTGATTTATGCGACAGCAATCCGAGACAAAGTTGTTTCATACTTAGAAGTTGTAATATCTATGGAAGTATCGGTGATAGTTTACTTGTTGATGATAAATATCTCTTTTGGCAATAAGTCCAATATGGTGAAGATGATCGAGCACAGTTGTGAAATCGATGTGTTGTTGGGAATAAAGGAGACCAGATTTATGAGAGACATCGCTGACACAGCTTACTCTGTCATGGGTCTAGCGGTGTTTATTTTCCACCTTACAGTAATTACACCCATGTGGTTCATATATGATGCTACAATTTGGATGCATGTGATGGGACACCTATTTTTCTTGTGGGAATTCCTCGTATTTTACGATGTCAATTATTTATTGACCCATTCCACTTTTTTAAACCTGAGGGCGCGTTACATGAACGTGGCGCTGATGAAAGCCCTCAAAGTTAAGGTTCAATATATTCCAGACTTGTTCATTTTCAATGGTTTGTTTTGGAAGAGTAAACACAATGATCTAGTAAATATACAAGGGGAAGCAGATGTGATGAAGTTTGTTAAGGTTTACAAGATGTGCTTGGCCCATTTGGAACTATTTGAAAAATGTTACCAATGTACCGTAAGTAACCTAAGATGCATTCAACCAGTGTCCAATATTTTTGGAAGCCCCTATCTATACAATGCCACAACTAGACTGTTGCTTTAACAAATGCACTTTTTGTGATTTGATTTTACACTTATTTATCCGTGATTGCGTTTGTTTTTTTAGATTTTCACAGGAATACTGTGCATATCCGTAGGTGCTTTATCCAGCGTGCAGGCTCTCATAATTTATGGGAAAACGGTGAGTGGCTAATTTTTATAACTGTTATTACTTACTTGAGTTACTTGTAAGGGAAGCTATAAGTCAACATAACTCCATAAGTTTTTCCTTCAGATTATAAAGATTTAGCAAAAAAACGGTTTTTTCTTGTAATTTTGCTTTGATTGCAACTTCCAATAATAATTTATTGACTCATGTTTAACTTTCCATCAGATATTTTAAAATATTACGTCAAAAATAGCAAATGATCACATGACAATATTATTATATTAATTCGTATAGTTATTATTTTTCCCCATAGGAAATGGATACGCTGAAAAAATATATCCTGATCAGTTGGCTAGTCCTAAGTTGGCTGTACTTCGTAGGTATGAGCGTGTTGGTGGATATATTTTCGAGGCAAATAGAACAGACCAAATTAATTTGCACCTACGCTCAATTGAAATATATAAATAATGGTTAGTTGCCTTTTCATTATGTTTTCTGTGCCTTTACTATACAATTAAAAAAAAGCCCTTAGATTAATAATTTGTTTTCAGAAATGATGTTGTTCTACAAGTGATGTAGCTCAACACGTATTTAATTTTATTAATACAATTTATGTTAGCCTAGGTGTAGACCACCGACTATTAGTTGGCCGATATTTGGATCAGGCTGGAGACGTATGAAAGTGGTCACATTACACCGATTTGGTACGGCCAATTTTTCATACAAATTAGAATCGGCCCTAACTATCGGCTGACAAAAAGTCGGTGGTCTGCGCCTAGGCATATTCGTGATGTTTGCTTGTCTTTTGTAGTACGAAATTGAAACATAGAACAACATTTTTTTTTTCAGAAGCAGTATACCAGTTCGCGAAGCCTATATTGCGCGCACTTGAGGTCAGGGTTGCGCGCACCTCCATATATGGTTTGTTTTTCTTCGATCCTGGAGCGATGCTGCGCATTGCAGCCTCTACTTTCCTTTATTTTACTGTGCAGATTCAATTTTCAATGCCTGCTGAAGAAATAGGAAACAGTGGAAACGTTACTAATGCCGATTGTGTTGAAATTTCAGGAAAATTATAAGATAATTATTACTATTGGAATAATTTAAAAAAAAGTAATACTCGTTGTGTTCAGTTTCACATTAAGTTAGTAGATTTAAATGGGCAAATGTGTCATATCATAGTAAAATAATGAGTAATTAATTGATTATGCCTGTGATATCGAAGTCACGGACTATCGCTAGTTACTTGTAATAAACAAGCTTCGCACCATGAAGAATTGATTTATTGTATTGATGAACTATATTAAAGCTTTAGCGTGCTAGATGCTACTCTTTTAAAACCTAAGACGTGAACTTCTGTTTTTTTTATTTAAATTTCCTGCTACATACTTTTCCGCAAAGTCCCAGAAGTATGATTTTTTTTTGCATATTACCACATAAAATATTCGCACCGATTTCCAATGAGTTGACTCAATATCGTGTAAGGAAAAGGTGCGCTGAGAAAGGATACAACTATTCCAATTATGTTTTATTCTATTTTATTTATTAGGACAACCAACAAGACAAATACGCATACATGGAATTGCTTTAACTAAAAGTGCTAAGAACTAAGTGTTGTCTTAATTAAAGGCTGCCACGGCATGTTGAAATGTAATGGGCTAGTAATAATACAAATAAAAATTGTGGCATGTCCACTCCATTCAATGTTATCGGTAAAAAGTTATCAGGCGGAAAATCGCATTACAAACACTCAAATTCCGACATCATTAAAATCTGTTTCTAATTCTTTCCCCTGAGTAATATTTAACGGCAATATTTTACATTCACGTTCGTTGATAGTTATCTAGGTACGTTTATTAGAAATCTATTGCATAATTGAATTAGTGTTGATTACAATCGTTGGTGTCAAACACTCGTACACTATAAGGCGAAGAGGCAGGATACTCCAGAAGCAAAGGACCGGTGCATCAGCACATAACATAATATCCCGATGGAAAACAATGACAAAATTGAGTTGATTCGAGAATACGTCAAAAAGTTACAAAAATGCAAATATTGGATATTACGAACATTAGGATACGGCCGATTTAGTATAAGCAATAACCGAATCGTTGAAAAATCTTTCAGTTCTGTTGTTTATGGTGTATTCGTGCTTATAATCAGCATTGTCGTCATGACCCACGTGTTGTATGCGACAGCGATCCGAGACAAAGTTGTTTCATACTCAGAAGTTGTTATATCTGTGGAAGTGTCAGTGATAATTTACCTGTTCTTGATAAATATCACTTTTGGCAATAAGTCCAATATGGTGAAGATGATCGAGCACAGTTGTGAAATCGATGTGTTACTGGGAATAAAGGAGACCAGATTCATGAGAGACATCGCTGACACAGCTTACTCTGTCATGAGTCTAGCTGTGTTTATATTCCAATTTATAGTAGTTACATGCATGTGGTTCATATTTGACGTTTCAATGTTTGACCATGTGACAGGAAGCCTCTATTTCTCGTGGGCATTCCTCGTATTTTATGATGTCAATTATTTATTGACCCACTCCACTTTTTTGAACCTGAGGGCGCGATACATGAACGTGGCGCTGATGAAAGCCCTCAAAGTTAAGGTTCAATATATTCCAGACTTGTTCTTTTTCAATGGATTTTTTTGGAAAAGTAAACACAATGATCTAGTAAACTTACAAGGGGAAGCGGATGTGATGAAGTTTGTTAAGGTTTACAAGATGTTCTTCACCCATTTGAAACTATTTGAAAAATGTTATCAATATACCGTAAGTTCCAAGATGCATTCTGCCAGTGCGCTTAATATTTATCCTTGATTGCATAAATAATAATAATCCGTGATTGCGTTTTTTTTTTCAGATTTTTACAGGAATACTATGCATATCCGTAGGTGCTTTGTCCTGCGTACAAATTCTCATAATATTTGGGAAAATGGTCAGTGGCTATCCTTCTCACTATTATGTCTTCTCTCAGAACCAATTATACTTAATTTTTTATATTAATTCAACACATTCCTTTAAATAATGTTACGGTAGAACTAATTTCCAATAGAAATTTAAATACAACTTGTGGTCGGAAATCATTAAAATTAAAATCAGGAATTATTCGCTTAAATTTCTTTAAAAAAAATAGTGTTTTTCGACCATGACTTACATAGAAAAATCTAATGGAAATGAGAAACGGTAGAACCGTTACCCCTTTCGAAGAATGAATCGAACTCCCGGTGACCCAGTATATTGTTACATAATGTAGGTATATTAACTATAGCGAATTAAAAGCAAACTAAGTAACTAGGTAACTACTTGTTCAATGAATGAAATGAACCAATGGGAACCTTTCATCAATAAAATATTTTTTTCCTTGAAATTTATTATAAGATTATCTTTTGTTTTTTTTTTACTTCTAGCATTGCTTTGTTCGATTGCAACTTCCAATACATTATGCATTATTTAAATAATTTGTATATTTATTTTTCTTACAGGGAATGGATACGCTGAGAAGATATGTTCTGATCAGTTGGTTAGTCCTTAGTTGGCTCTACTTGCTTGGTATGAGCGTGTTGGTGAATATATTTTCGAGGCAAATAGAACAGACCAAATTAATTTGCACCTACGCTCAATTGAAATGTATAGATAATGGTTAGTTACCTTTCATTGTTTTACTATACGATCAATTTATGAAAACAACCTAGTTAGATTTTTTGTTTTTAGTTGTTTTGTTGCGCTAAAAATTATTAAACTTGACACGTACCTATTTAATTTTATTAAAAATATGTTTGCTTGTCTTTGTGTAGTAGGAAATTGAAACACTGTAGGTATGTACCGTACAATATGATATATGAAAATATTAATTTTTGTATTTTTTTCCAGAAGCAGTATACCAGTTCACGAAGCCTATATTGCGAGCACTTGAAGTCAGGGTGGCGCGCACCTCCATATATGGTTTGTTTTACTTCGATCCTGGAGCGACACTGCGCCTAGCAGCTTCTACTTTCCTTTATATCACTGCGCAGATTCAATTAACAATGCCTGCTGAAGGAAACGGCAACAGTGAAAACTGTACTATTGCTTATTAATATAATTATTTTAACATTTGTTTATTACCTGTAAAAAAATTAAGTTAAAAATTAGGCCGTTTATGCCTCCAAAAACGTACCTATATTTGGACAGTCAAGGAAAAGAAAATGTATTGGGTATTTTCCGCTGACCTCTCAAGTAATACTGTCTTATACTACAAGTATAGAAAAACCGAAATTTTGTAATTAAAACATCATAAAAACAGGATCGTTATTCCCACAAGCTTGCATCGATTTTTAATTATTTTCACGATGTGGTTTTCGATATAATATGATGAAGTATTTAAAAAAATCCTTTGAACGAAATCCTCGATGCGCGAGTCCCTTTCGCGCTTGGCCGGATTTTTATCGAAATCAAGCCATTAAAACTAATTCAAATATGGTTATTTGTCCATAATATCGCTTTAGTATACTACCCACAAGCATGTAGAGCTACTTCTAATGACTACTTTTTCTAAATGACCACTCTAATCAATAGGTATGTTATCAGTAAAAAGTTATCAGATTGAAAATCACTTAAGAAAACCACCCCACTCCAATCCAGACTTTATTCTAAATCTGTTTCTAATTGTTTCCCCGTGAATAATATTTAACGGTTATATTTTACAAAAATCACATTCGTTGATAGTTATCTAAGTAACTAAGTACTTACGTTTGTTAGAAATCCATTGCTTAATTGAATTAGCCTTGATTACAATTGTTGGTGTTAAACACTCCTACAATATAACGCGAAGAGACAGGATACTCCACAAGCAAAGGACCGGTGCATCAGCACAAAACAAAATATCCCGATGGAAAACAATTCCAAAATTAAGTTGATTCGAGAATACGTCAGTCAGTCAGCAAGTTGCAAAAATGCAAATATTGGGTATTACGAGCATCGGGATATGGAAGATTTAGTATAAGAAATAACCGAATCGTTGAAAAATCTTTCAGTTCTGTGGTTTATGGTGTATCGTATCTATTCGTGCTTACATTACAGTCAGCATTGTCGTCCTGACCCATATGACGTATGCGACAGCGATCCGAGACAAAGTTGATTCATACTCAGAAGTTGTAAAAAGTGTGGAAATATCGGTGATAGTTTACTTGTTCGTGATAAATATCACTTTTGGCAATAAGTCCAATATGGTAAAGATGATCGAGCACAGTTGTGAAATCGATGTGTTGTTGGGAATAAAGGAGACCAGATTCATGAGAGACATGAATCTGGTCTTCTGACACAGCTTACTCTGTCATGAGTCTAGCTGTGTTTATATTCCAGCATAGTAATTACATCCTTATGGTTCATATGATGTTACAATGTTTGACCATGTGACAATGAGCCTCTTTTACTCGTGGGCATTCCTCGTATTTTACGATGTCAATTCATTCCACTTTTTTAAATCTGAGGGCACGATACATGAACGTGGCGCTGATGAAAGCCCTCAAAGTTAAGGTTCAATATATTCCAGATCCTTTGAACAGAACCCTGGGTGAGATAGTCCTTCTCGCGCTTGGCTGAATTTTTATGGAATTTAAGCTATAACAACTAATACAAATAAACAGCTTTAGTATAGTACCCACTAAGCATGTAGAGCTACTTCTAATGACTGCTTTTTCTAATTAACCACTGATCAATAGGTATATTATCAGTAAAAAGTTATCAGATAGAAAATCACATTACAACCACCCCACCCCAATCGAGACTTTATTCTAAATCTGTTTTTAATTGTTTCCCCTGAGTAATATTTAACGGAAATACTTCATAATCACATTGGTTGATCGTAAGTAACTAAGTAGTTACGATTATTAGATTTTACGATTATTAGAAATCCATTTCTTAATTGAATTAGCCTTGATTACAATAGTTGGTGTTAAACACTCTTACACTATAACGTGAAGAGACAAGATACTTCAGAATCTAAAAACCGGTGCATCAGCACGAAAAAAAATATTCCGATGGAAAACAATGACAAAATTGAGTTGATTCGAGAATACGTCAAAAAGTTGCAAAAATGCAAATATTGGGTATTACGAGCATCGGGATATGGCAGATTTAGTATAAGAAATAACCGAATCGTTGAAAAATCTTTCAGTTCTGTTGTTTATGGTGTATTCGTGCTTACAGTCAGCATTGTCGTCCTGACCCATATGACGTATGCGACAGCGATCCGAGACAAAGTTGTTTCATACTCAGAAGTTGTAATAAGTGTGGAAATATCGATGATAGTTTACTTGTTCGTGATAAATATCACTTTTGGCAATAAGTCCAATATGGTAAAGATGATCGAGCACAGTTGTGAAATCGATGTGTTGTTGGGAATAAAGGAGACTAGATTCATGAGAGACATCGCTGACACAGCTTACTCTGTCATGGGTCTAGCAGTGTTTATATTCCAGCTTATAGTAATTACATCCTTATGGTTCATATATGATGTTACAATGTTTGACCATGTGACCATGAGCCTCTTTTACTCGTGGGCATTCCTCGTATTTTACGATGTCAATTACTTATTGACCCATTCCACTTTTTTAAACCTGAGGGCGCGATACATGAACGTGGCGCTGATGAAAGCCCTCAAAGTTAAGGTTCAATAGGTATATTCCAGATTTGTTGTTTTTCAATGGATCTTTTTGGAAAAGTAAACACAATGATCTAGTAAATATACAAGGGGAAGCGGATGTGATGAAGTTTGTGAAGGTTTACAAGATGTTCTTCGCCCATTTGAAACTATTTGAAAAATGTTACCAATATACCGTAAGTTCCTAAGATGCATTCTGCCAGTGCGCCTAATATTTTTGGAAACACCAATTTTACCATTACACAATTCCATGACAGTTGGTTTAATTAACAAATACACCTTTTGTGATTTGAATTTCTTAAAAAACTATTCCTTGATTGCCTTAAATTTTTCAGATTTTTGCAGGAATACTGTGCATATCCATAGGTGCTTTGTCCTGTGTGCAAATTCTCATAACTTATGGGAAAACGGTCAGTGGCTATACCCATTACTTCATTTTTCACTTAAAAAAAGTTAGATTATAGCGAATTAATATGATATGGTTTAGTAAACTACTTACTCGTTCAATGAATTAACTCAACTTTTTATGGGAAGCTTTAATCAATACAACTCCATAAGTTTTTCCTTGAAATTTATGATATATCCAGCATTATTTTTTCTTGTAACTTTGCTTTGATCATTTGTTAATTTGTATACAGGGTGATTTTGTTATCAGATTTACGTAAAGAAAACATTTATTTTTCATATTTAATTGTTTTTATCAGGTGCACGTGGTTTTAAAATTGACACCCGCGAATTAGATTTTCAATACTTCTTTCGCGAAAAATACCGCGTTAAGGATAATTAAGATAAAGTTGTATTGTAAAAAAGCTCTTATTAAAAAAATTGGATACTGATAACAAAATTACCCTGTATTTATTTTTTCTACAGGGAATGGATACGCTGAAAAAATATGTCCTAATCAGTTGGCTAGTCCTTAGTTGGCTGTACTTACTAGGTATGAGCGTGTTGGTGGATATATTTTCAAAGCAAATAGAACAGACCAAATTAATTTGCACCTACACTCAATTGAAATATATACATAATGGTTAGTTACTTTTCCTTATTATATACTTTCCGTGCCTTTACGATACGAATAATTTATGAAAGCAACCTAGATTGATTTTTTTAGCAATGTTGTTGCGCTACTATTGATTAAGCTCAACATGTATTTAATTTTATTAAAACAAATTATGCTTGCTTGTCTTTATGTAGTACGAAATTGAAACATATTAGGTACAACATTTATTTTTATTTTCCAGAAGCAGTATATAAGTTCACGAAGCCTATATTGCGCGCACTTGAGGTCAGGGTGGCGCGCACCTCCATATATGGTTTGTTTTTCTTCGATCCTGGAGCAACGCTGCGCCTTGCAGTGTCTACTTTCCTTTATATTACTGCGCAGATTCAAATAACAATGCAAGTTAAGTCTAAGTTAACGTAAAAAAATTACGTACCTATTTGTGACAGTCAAGGGAAAGAAAATGTATTGGGTATTTTCCATTGACCTAGATCTAAGAAATTTTTCAAGTGATACCGTCATAATCTAGAAGTATAGGAAAAAACCGAAAACTATAAGCACATTTTGTAATTAAATCATAAAAACATCGTTATTCCTACAAGCTTACACCGACTTTTAATTATTTTCACGATGTACAGTCTTCGATTTATGATGAAGAATTTAAAAAATCCTTTGAACAGAACCCTGGGTGCGCGAGTCCATATCGCGCTTGGCTGAATTTTTATGGAATTTAAGCTATTACAACTAATACAAATAAACAGCTTTAGTATGGTACCTACCCACTAAGCATGTAGGTAGAGCTACTTCTAATGACTGCTTTTTCTAAATGATCACTAACCAATAGGTAGGTATATTATCAGTGAAAAGTTATCAGATAGAAAATCACATTACAACCACCCCACCCCAATCCAGACTTTATTCTAAATCTGTTTTTAATAGTTTCCCCTGAGTAATATTTAACGGAAATACTTTATAATCACATTGGTTGATCGTAAGTAACTAAGTAGTTACTAGATTTTACGATTATTAGAAATCCATTTCTTAATTGAATTAGCCTTGATTACAATAGTTGGTGTTAAACACACTTACACTATAACGTGAAGAGACAAGATACTTCAGAATTTAAGAACCGGTGCATCAGCACGAAAAAAAATATCCCGATGGAAAACAATGACAAAATTGAGTTGATTCGAGAATACGTCAAAAAGTTGCAAAAATGCAAATTTTGGGTATTACGAGCATCGGGATATGGAAGATTTAGTATAAGAAATAACCGAATCGTTGAAAAATCTTTCAGTTCTGTTGTTTATGGTGTATTCGTGCTTACAGTCAGCATTGTCGTCCTGACTCACATGACGTATGCGACAGCGATCCGAGACAAAGTTGTTTCATACTCAGAAGTTGTAATAAGTGTTGAAATATCGATGATAGTTTACTTTGTTCGTGATAAATATCACCTTTGGCAATAAGTCCAATATGGTGAAAATGATCGAGCACAGTTGTGAAATCGATGTGTTGTTGGGAATAAAGGAGACCAGATTCATGAGAGACATCGCTGACACAGCTTACTCTATCATGAGTCTAGCGGTGTTTACATTCCAGCTTATAGTAATTACATCCATGTGGTCCATATATGATGTAACAATGTTTGACCATGTGACATCAAGCCTCCTTTACTCGTGGGAATTACTCGTATTTTATGATGTCAATTACTTATTGACCCATTCCACTTTTTTAAACCTGAGGGCGCGTTACATGAACGTGGCGCTGATGAAATCCCTCAAAGTTAAGGTTCAATATTTTCCAGATTTGTTCATTTTCAATGGATTTTTTTTGAAAAGTAAACACAATAATCTAATAAATATACCTACAAGGGGAAGCGGATGTGATGAAGTTTGTTAAGGTTTACAAGATGTTCTTCGCCCATTTGAAAAATGTTACCAATTTACCGTAAGTTCCTAAGATACATTCTGACAGTGCGCCTAATATTTTTACAATTTTTCAATCGTCAGATATCTTTTATCTGAAGAATAACCTTGTCAATTTGACATATTTCCCATACTAAAACTGTCAATGTGCCAAACTTATTCTTCAGTTAAAAGTTATCCGTCGATTGAAAAATTAGCCCTAAAACAAATACCTACTACACTTTTAGTGATTTGAATTTATTAAAGCTATATCCTTGATTGCGTTAAATTTTTCAGATTTTCGCAGGAATACTGTGCATATCCATAGGTGCTTTGTCCTGTGTGCAAATTCTCATAACTTATGGGAAAACGGTCAGTGTTTATGCTTACATTACATGATTGAATTTTGTATAGGAAGCTTTACAATAAGCACAACTTCATAAGCTTTTTCTTGAAATTATAAGATTTAGCTTTAAGCATTTTTTGTGGCTTTTCTTTGATCGTTTGCTAATTTTGTATATTTATTTTCTCATACAGGGAATGGATACGCTGAAAATATATGTCCTGATCAGTTGGCTAGTCCTTAGTTGGCTGTACTTGCTAGGTATGAGTCTGTTGGTGGATATATTTTCGAGGCAAATAGAATAGACCAAATTAATTTGCACCTACGCTCAATTAAAATATATAGACAATGGTTAGTTACCTTTTACTTATCTTTTCCGTGCCTTTACGATACGATTTATTTATGAAAACATTCTAGATTGTTTTTTAGCAATGTTGTTGCGCTACAATTGATTTAGCTCTACATGGTATTTAATTAAATCAAATTTTGTTTTTCTTAATGTTTGCTTGTCTTTATATAGTACGAAATTGAAACATAGATTTTTATTTTTATTTTTCAGAAGCAGTATACAAGTTCACGAAGCCTATATTGCGCGCACTCGAGGTCAGGGTTGCGCGCACCTCCATATATGGTTTGTTTTTCTTCGATCCTGGAGCGACGCTGCGCCTAGCAGCCTCTACTTTCCTTTATATCACTGCGCAGATTCAAATATCAATGCCTGCTGGAGGAAACGGCAATAGTGAAAACATTACTATTGCCGATTGAGTTTGAAGAATCTTGTAACATATCTATATTAATGAGATGTTAAGGCTGAGTTGCACCATCTTTACTTTAACTTTAACAAATGTCCAAAATCTATCAAATACCATATTAAAAACACCGGTTATTGTATAATTAAGTAAGTTAGTGCAACCCAGCCTAAGTGTTCTATAAATATAATAATCTGAATAACCACTTTGAGTTTTATTTTCTCTCAATCACTATCATGCAGTAGTGATACCATAAAATAATAATTTACCTATTTAATACCTGAATACAAATAAGGGAAACGGTGGTGGAAATCTGTATGTACTTTTTAGCTTGAAAATTTCCGTTTATGTGTTACAGTCCAATACCATGAACTAATTACCATAAGAAACCCTGAAGTTGAGATCTGCCATGAGTCAGTACAATGGACTGGAGTGATTAGTATTCGTCAGACTAATGTATCGAGTCACTTTTAACAATCACTCACTGAATAGGATCTGAATGACATGCTTTACAATTTTCAGTGACTTTTTAAGTGATTTCCGTTAGCTTATTTTGTAATCCCGTAGTAAAATACAAACACGACGGTTTTATATTCTACCTCTAGTCTTTATGATCTACTAGCTTTCCGCCCGCGGCTTCGCCCGCGTGGAATTTGGTCTGTCACAGAAAAAGTTTATCGCGCGCGTCCCTGTTTCAAAAACCGGGATAAAAACTATCCTATGTTCTTTCCCGGGACTCAAACTATCTCTATGCCAAATTTCATCAAAATCGGTTGCGAGGTTTAAGCGGGAAAGCGTAACAGACAGACAGACAGACAGACAGACAGACAGAGTTACTTTCGCATTTATAATATTAGTTGGGATCATAATTAGTATTAATTCTAATTAAGGTTTAGTTAATTAAGTATTTTAATTAATAGTGTTTGTTTGCACACAAATTGAGCTAATTTATGAATGTTGAAGCACTGTTGACTGTTTTGATGAACACTGTAACCCAGGTTGTTTAGACGAGATTTCATACTAGAGATAAGACCACTACTTGTACACCTTTTAATGTGTTGTATTTTTCGGTCTAGTGTTAATAAAGAATAATAATATCAATCTCTCTTTTATTCAAAGCTACAGTATCGTTGGACGTATTATATCCTATCTCTATGAGTTGCTCATTAATATATACGGAACATTCAAAAATGTGACTGTATTGTTCAGCTTCATATCTGCTAGAACTTCCTAATAATTTGTTTGTGCTATTGTTTATATTCGCCACAAAGGCCGCACTTTTCGTATATAACTAGACGACTTTTGCTATTTGTAAATCAGTTTCAAAGAGAATCTTCTATTTTCAAGACAGTCAAAAAACTAAAAAATATCATCATGACCAAAGCAATTTTATGTTTAGCTGTAATCGCGATGTTCGCAACTATTGTAAGTATTTATTGAACTTAATTATGTATTTATTTACGTCTGATAGCTGTAATGTTTTTTTTTTAATTTACAGAACGCGCTCCCAGCAGATTCAGGTAAATAAGTCTGATCTTTACATGATTATTTTTGAATACCTAATCTAAAAGTTAATCAAAAATTGTATATGATAGGTCTTCGCATGTGATAATTAAAATATTTGTGTAATTTTCAGCCCCTTCCGCTGATGCAGGGTCTACGCCTTCTTCTTCTACGGCAGCACCGAATCAACGTAAGTAATATTTAATCGAAATCAAAATTTATTTTCTATGACTATACAAATCATCAAATATTTAAAGAAAAAATAATAATAGAAGACTAAAAATAAAAAGTTTTGCTCTTGGATGCCTTTACATGTCTCAATGTTTAATCTTTTTATCCTACCCGCATCCAGGCTCTTCCCGCGACCTTTACCACGAAACGAAACGACCCTACCAGCGCTTCGAGCCCAACATTTGGCTATTAATATTTAGTTTTTTAGTTAATACCGGAAAGTCATCGCGAATTGCGTCGTTTACATAAATATAAGGGAGAAAACAAAATTTTGAGCTATTATACTATACATATTATAATTTTCTCGTTTCAGCGAACTCAGACAACCCCGCAAATAAATTGTTCAATCCCCTGGCCCCGCTGAACGGAATCTTGAAAACAGTGGTATTAGCGAAAGAAAAAGCAGTCAACGGATTTCTCAGTAAGTTTTAAGGGACGTCTTTTATAATTTATTAAAAGTCATAAAACTTTTTATAAAAGTTAGAATGATAACAGAAATCACCATAATGCCTCAAGCCAATGAACCTATACATACACCTACATTATCTAAATGTTTAAATTCCTGATTCAACACTGGTATTCGCGTTTATGGAAATCTATGATGTAAATTACATTTTTCATTGTAATTTGTATTTAAACACACCTGTCAGATGCAATTTCTTCTTTCCGTTGTTGCTATGAAGAAAATTAATTTACTTATTGTTATGAAATGCTGTCGAAAAACTTCCAGCTAAATAGCATGATAAATCTACCTATAGTAGGTAGGTAATATTACGATTTTATTTTCCAATCTTTTAAAACTTTTTCTTTTTACAGATAT